CCTTCAATCATGATATGGGAGTTATAGAAACACAAGATCCTAGCTGGCCTGGATCTGGTTCCGTATGGTTAAAGGTATATTTGTTAATATTAAAATAAATCTATTAACTATTCTTGATAAATTTTATACTTGTTACAAAGCGTGGACATTATTTTATATAATAATGTCATATTATTAAGCTTAGAAATAATTAAGTGTTGATATCTTGAATTTTGTGTCTCATCATCTGATGGGTTCCCAAGCATATAAAACAACATCATATATATATATAAATTCGTAATTAGTCCACTTAAATTTAGTTAAGTTAAAATTATTATTATATGAAGAGAGACCCAAAAATACTACGGGTATACTGAAATGGGTACTGAAATGAAGATTTGTAGAAGATTTATATATGTAGAAGATTTTTATAATGTTTGTAATAACTATAATAACTGTATAATGACTTTTTTCTGTTCAATTTTTATATATCCCTCCCCTATTTTTTACATCTTTAATTACTATCTTATACATTGGTAAACTGTGATAGGATTAGAATCCTAAACTTTTGCATAAGTGAAATTAAATTTCATTTTCGACAGTTGTAATTTAGATGCTAATAAACGGCATTCAATGTGCTTCGTCAAAAATCATTTATCAAATGTATTGAGTAGAACCAAACTCCCCTCATGGAAGTAATTAAACACATATTTGAAGCTACCAAGAATCTCAAGTACTCTACTGAAAATATGGTTTTTATTTTGTTTGGTAGGTTGGTTGGTCCTTGTGTCCTTAGCGCACAAATAGAAGTTATCACGTCGCATAAAGTTTGTCTTTTAAACTTTGTTCCTTCCATGACTCCATGGCAGTTGTTATTGTATACGAGCTGGGATATTGGGGAGCATAGGATGTTAACAATAGTGCAAGCTGGTAACAAGAAGAAATTAATTCAATTTTTGACACGTTCTCGTGGGATATGAACAAGCAATTCCATGTGAATTTGCAATTCAGCGCACAAGGGGAGGCTAGAGCAAAAGTAATTTGAGGTAAAAGCTACAGACAGGAATGCTACAATGAAAAGGATGTGATTACAGGTGCAGATGTTGCTATGCTTAAGGATGCGAAAAGCTGTTGTGTTCTACTTTTTCTAATGTGTTCTATGCGTATAAGTTCAATGAACTCCTTTTGACATAAATTTAAAAATTCTACGAAAACCATTTTTTCATTATTAGAGTATCCCTGAAAAACTTGTAATTTAAGATACACTTATTTTGAAAATTTTAGTGAAAAATGTATTCTTAATAAAAAATATATGTAGAAAGAAGAGCCTTTATCTCCATGTAGTTGGAGATAAAGATATCATTGTGTAAGATTTTATGTATATGACTTTTCTTGTATGCTTTTAACTATTTTTGTTTAACTTTTCTTAGTATATTGATATAATCTCATTTTGTCAGGTTTATCCAAAGGGCATGTACAATCTTTTGATGTGGATTAAAAATGAGTACAATGATCCAATCATTATAGTGACTGAAAATGGGGTTAGTGACAGAGGTGGCTTGGAAGATTATGATCGTGTTGATTACTACAACTTATATTTGACATCTGTATTGGATGCAATTGACGATGGTGCTAATATTCAGGGATATATTGCTTGGAGTTTAATGGATAGCTATGAATGGAAAGCTGGATTCGCGTAAGTTTATAAATAAAGTATAATTAATTTATTTGTAGCGGATTTTAATTTTATGTTTCACGGAAAAAATTATACAGTCTGACTAATGCGGTTCTTATTTTTATTGTTGTGATAACAAGTGCATATATGTTAAGCCCAGATAAAAATTAAAATAAAAATTAAGTTTGTTAAGAAGAACAATAAATCAGTTTTATTCCATATTTTTACTGCTATTAATTTTTCACATTAAAATAGTTTACACCGACATCCTTATAGGACATTTTTTTGTAAAATTATTTTATTTTATTGTATTATTATTCAAAAACTTATTTTTATATTATTTTTAATATTTTTCATTACCATATTTTTCTTATTTTATATTTTATTTCTGCTTTTAGTGCTGCTAAATAGCAACTTAACTTCCTTTTCTGTTTTTTACTGTTAGTTTGCATTTAGACTATTGCTTACATTATTGTGCATATTTCAGCTTACGCTGCTTGCGTATTTGGAGTGAAAGAGTTAATTTTATAATGTCTTTCAGTTGAGGTTTGTAGGACGATTTATACATTAGGCAGCGTGACATTTCAAATTTTTATGGTGGTTATTTTAATTTATGATATCTATTATATATGATATAATTTATGATATATATATTATTGTTTAATAAAAATTCAAAAATAAAATTGATTAAATGTATATACTAATACTTTATTTATTGTAATTCAATATTTAACATATTTTATTAATCTCTGTTACTTTTAGAGAAAAATTTGGTTTATATCATGTGGATTTCACACATCCTAATCGTACCCGAACTCCAAAGATTTCAGCACAAGTTTACGCTCATATCTGCAAAACAAATATGATTGATTGGAATTATCGACCCACTTTAAATGAACAACAAATATCTGCAATGGCACGTCTTCCGGAAACTGATTACACCGCATCAGGGGCTGTTATTAACAGCAGAAACGTGGTATGGTTAAGCACGTTATTTAGTGTTGTTTCAGGTGTTCTGTTTGGTGTAATTTTAAGATCCTAAAGTTTTATTTATTAATTTGTTATTATTTATTTTTTTTTATTTATGTAAATTTTTATTTATCGTTTTTGTTTATTTGTTGCCATCAAGAAAATATTTTAATAAATATTATTTCTTCTAATTTTTTTCTTTTTTTTTTTCTTTTGTCTTTGTTGTTATTATTTTTCTTAATATTTCCTTAGTCAATTATACACAAAGGATAATGGTGAGTTATTCAATTTTATTTAAATTAAGTACAAATTAAATTTGATTTGGTTAAAAACCTGTGACCCTCCACAAACGACTTGGAAACCTTGATTGACAGCAAACAAGTTTACATTAAGTGTTTGGTGAGGTTGAGAATGAATTTACAGCATTAGCCTGGTGTAACTTTTAATTCGTTACTCTACTGCTCACAAACTTCTGATTAATATGTATTTTGGTTTCGAAAAAACTCTTTTAATAGAAAACAAACTGGACAACCGAAAAGCCGCTGTAAACTACTGGTTTAAGTTTTTTGGCAATAAACCACAGAATATATTCTGATAATGTATACTGATAGAATTATGGAAATAGTGGCAATAACAATGGTCAATATAAACTGATTTTTAATAGAGAAAATTTAAAAATGTACCAAAACCGGCAGATACTTTTTATATCCCACAATATTAAAATAAGATTTTGTTCTTCTTGTATTCTTACTTCTTTACTGTTTATATTATAGGAAATTAATTGATCCATCTTGGCTTTGTTATATCAGAAATTTATTGGACGTGTTTTGGTGATGTGAATTGGCTCACACAATTCATAGGGTTATATACTTTTTTATGGGGTAATGCAAACGATCATGTTTAAGCGAATATTCTTCAAACTCTCGACTTTATGAATCATCTTAACAAGCATACATCAAGTTATAATCGAAGTACTGCTAACTATATGGGTAAAAGTTATATTTAATTAGTTTTGGATACCACACCCAATGGCAAGGTCCAAATCGTGGCCAACGGTTTATATTTCCGCAACAGCTTTCTAATCTACCACAATTAGGCAAGTTTTTCTGTGTTATATTTTGGTAAAATTACATTATTTTCTTTTTATGTTTTAAATAATTTATTACACTTTACGTTAATTTACTTTATTGACAATGACTTTAGTATATAATTGTTTATACAACTGGTTCAAAAAACTAATGCCATAAGTCATTACATTAATGATAGTTTTCGTATGGCCGCAACTTATATTAATAATGTTGATATTGATGAAGTTGTAAAAGATACATTAATGAAGAATTAATAAAACTAAATTTAAGATTATCGCCATATTTTTATTTTTCTGCGGCAAAATTATTCATTGGTTTATATTGGCCCGTGAACTTATTTAGGCTGGAGAGCCCTTGTTCATACAATATGTAAAAGTAAAAATTTGTTCGAAATTTCAATCACCAGTGATTGTGATATTGATAGAATTGTAAAAGATATTTTAATGAAGATTCAATAAAACTAAATTTAACATTATTGCCATATATTTATTTTTCTCCGGAAAAATTATGAACGTATGTAGGTACTTCCACTGCCCTCTTCCCAATTCATTGGTTTATATTGGCCCGTGAACTTATATGGGCTGGAGAGCCCTTGTTCGTTACAATATATAAAAGTAAAAATTTGTTCGAAATTTCAATCACCAGTGATTGTGATATTGATAGAATTGTAAAAGATATTTTAATGAAGAATCAATAAAACTAAATTTAACATTATTGCCATATATTTATTTTTCTCCGGAAAAATTATGAACGTACGAAGAAGGTACTTCTGCGGCCTTCCAAAACCTATTCATTGGTTTGTATTGGCCCGTGAACTTATTTAGGCTGGAGAGCCCTTGTTCATACAATATATAAAAGTAAAAATGTGTTCGAAATTTCAATCACCAGTGATTGTGATATTGATAGAATTGTAAAAGATATTTTAATGAAGAATTAATAAAACTAAATTTAACAGTATTACTATATTTTAATTTTTTTTGGAAAAATTATGAACGTATGTAGTAGGTACTTCTGCGGTTCTCCAACCTATTCATTGGTTTGTATTGGCCCGTGAACTTATTTAGGCTGGAGAGCCCTTGTTCATACAATATATAAAAGTAAAAATGTGTTCGAAATTTCAATCACCAGTGATTGTGATATTGATAGAATTGTAAAAGATATTTTAATGAAGAATCAATAAAACTAAATTTAACATTATTGCCATATATTTATTTTTCTCCGGAAAAATTATGAACGTATGTAGGTACTTCCACGGCCCTCTTACCAATTCATTGGTTTATATTGGCCCGTGAACTTATATGGGCTGGAGAGCCCTTGTTCGTTACAATATATAAAAGTAAAAATTTGTTCGAAATTTCAATCACCAGTGATTGTGATATTGATAGAATTGTAAAAGATATTTCAATGAAGAATCAATAAAACTAAATTTAACATTATTGCCATATATTTATTTTTCTCCGGAAAAATTATGAACGTATGTAGGTACTTCGCGGCCCTCTAACCTATTCATTGGTTTGTATTGGTCCGTGAACTTATATGGGCTGGAGAGCCCTTGTTCGTTACAATATATAAAAGTAAAAATTTGTTCGAAATTTCAATCACCAGTGATTGTGATGTTTACGTTCCATTACGGAAGCATAAAATGGCTAACCCTGTATGTAATTTGTTCTTAAACAAATTATGCCATATAAACTGTAATAAATTATTTTAAATATATACAATATACTTCAATTTAAAAGCAGTTGTGAAATCAATAACAAATTCATAATAAATTTTAAAACTCATTTTAGTTGCTAACGAAACAATGGGAGTATGACGAATCACGAACAGGAAGTTTTGCTGTTCAAAATTATTAGCGTAATGAAGTTTGTTATGACGGTTCTTGAGACTGTTCGGTGCTTTCGCGATTAGCAGTCCCAAAATACGATTTATGAGGATTTTCGTATGTTAATGTATGACCGGGGCCAAGTTGAATGACAGGTGAGCTGTGATTGTATGATTTGTTTAATCAAACAAATTCATAGATAAATTGTGTCATAACATGTAAGACAACTTTACAAACAACTAAGTTTATAGACACAACATGGAATAATGTATTAACACTTTTATTTGTAGAAAAAAAATTCAATTATCATTAAAAATTTTTTTTTTTTCAATAATTATTGATTTATTTCCCCAATGCTTTTAAGCAACAATTTCAATAAGTTTTAGAAAAAAATCCACGATACAAGCACGTAAAAATTTTTAAAAATTGATTAGCATTTATTAGAAAGCAAGAAAAATATGTTTGCAAATTTAAAAAAAATATATAAAGAAAAAAAAATAATGTTTTTGTCTATTGTTTGTTATTAGTTTTTTTTCTTTTTAAAGCAAGTAAATATAAATTAAAAAAAAATACCAAAGTTATATAATTTATACATTATTAGTAAACGTGCTTGGCCCTAGGTATTTGGTTGATAATGCTTATAGCCAAACTAGAATTAAACTATCATTCTTATTTTAAATACCGGCTTATAGCAAATTATTTCTATAAATACATTGCAAATAATTAATAATTTTATTATTAATACATATTTGTGAAAATGCCCGATGGCTTCATCAGCAATCTTTAAATGTTGCTTCTATGATGTTATAATTCTATAATCAAAACTGATAATAATATTTAATTTTAGATAATATTTTATAATATTTAATTTTCGCAACTTAAGTACCTTTCACAAAGTGTTACGGAGAGTTAATTGACTAAAAGAGGCGCGAAGAGGCATGACATGAGGTGCAAGAGATTATAGACCGTCAAAACCATTTCCAACTTGTTACTTATGAATTAAAAACAAACGAACGTATGAATGCAATTATAAGTTTTTTTGTTTATTTTTAAATTACAAATTAAACAAAATCTATTAAAAAAATTTTAGTAAATTGTTTTCTCCCCGGGCTATATAAGTCTTTAAGCAGGCGCTTGCTTAAAGGTTAAAGACTTTGGTTATATGACAACAATATTGAACGTCATAATAATTGATGATTAATTGGTTTTGTTGGCGGTAGTGCTTGTTCTTCTTTAGTAATATCTCATAAGCCTGTTTTGTAGCACACACCCGGAGTTGATATTTGGGCAATTTTTATTTCAAATCAACTTGTAGACATCGGATGTCGACTTAAGCGTATGCGCACCCACTTTTAAACTTAACTCAGAATATTTTTGTCCGACAAATTCTTGCTTTTATCAATGGGCTAGTTAATCCTCCTCCCAAAATTGGGAGAAATGTGTAATACGATTTCTAGCATATTGAACGGAATTATATCTTCTTCATTTACTTCTCCAAGCTGCGAGGTTCGTAGAGAAGATTATTCTCAAAGATTTACGCTTCTAATAGTCTCCAGATTCATTAGTTGTTAATAGCACCATTCTTTAAATGACTCATACTCGTAACGTTACAAAGTTGCTGGTACCATTGGTATCCACCTAAAAAAAGCTTACAGTATTTTTTGCTGTTGTTTATAACAACAGTCGCTATTCGTATAATATGCAAAGTAATTTCAAAATATATGTATATCGTATCACGTTTATGTTTTCAAAAGAATATAATTAAATTGGTAATATAATTAATTAATAATTATTCATCTCATTTATTAAAAAAATGGCCAGTAATTACTTGTTGTACTTAAAACTTGTTCAATGCAACCATGCGTAAGTTTAGAACACCTTGTATATTTCGTTAAATCTAATTTAAATATTAAATCAGGTACAGTCACCAAAGTTTCTGTACAATATATCTTATTTATATATGTATACATATTATTTAATACTAAATATGTTTAGCATATGTATAAATAACAGGTTTCTTTTGAAAGTACTTATTATATAATTATATTGTTTTGTTAATAATATTGCAACAATGTAAACATTTAAGTATTTTATAATAATAATTACTACATCATATGTTGATTGATTGATTTGAGTGGATATGAAATATTCTCTTTACCTTTTACGGTAGGTGAATAGAAATAGTTAGGTCTTATAGGTCAGTGTTTTATAAAATGTGACTATTAAGCCCATA